CTGCGGGTTTCGAACTCACATGCCTTGGTTTCCCACGTCAAGGCACTACCGGGTGGCCGCATTAATCATTCAGCCACCGGGGCATTTTTGATTTCAGTATTCTGTTCTTGATATTATTCAAGTAGCAGCAGAGTTCACTCTGATCACACTTTTTAAGTGTATATTTTCTAATTATTCACATTTATACAGATATATACTAATTATTTATTAGATAATATTAAAGAGTGCAGAATTAAGCAGATTTATTTAAAAAATTATATTCTGATCTTTTATAAAGAGAAAAATAAAAGAATCTTGTTTAGACAAGTGAAATGAAAGCTGGCAGAAATAAAAGAAGAGTATACATTATTCAAGATTTGAAACAAAACTCAAGTGAAAATCTTGTTCAATTAAATGTAAAAAGAAAATATTCTCATCTATAATACAGCTGAAACTAGAACATGACTATTTCAAATCTTATATACAAAGATTTAATGATAGATTTGACTCAATAGAATGCTTATTCTGCAATGTAAATAAGAATTCTGAGTATATTGTAATACACTGTGCATTATACAATAGTCTCAGAGTCAGATTGAAAGAGAAGTATGATCTAAATCAATTAAATATGAGATTCTTATTCTCAACTGAGACAGGAATTAAATACTTAATAGACTTTCTATCAGAAACTCAAGCAGCTATAAGAAAATAACTAAATTCAGAAATATCTGAATATGAAGAGAAGGAAATTAATCAGATATAGTCTGTTAAAACAGCTATATACTATCTTTTAATAATTTGTTTTGTTACAGTCTCTCTTTACTTTATCTTTTTCTTTCAATTTCTTTCTATCTATCTATTTAATGTGTCTATCTTTAAGACTGTGTTCTCTTTTCCTTTGTCATGATATTGTCAAATGATTTCAAAGTATCAGAAGATGTTAAAACACTGTAATTTATAAACAGTTTTTGTATTCTGAGCTGGAATTTTCTGATTTTGCATATCTGAAATTGATGAATGTATAATAGTTAACTTTACAGATATAGAAAAAACCCTGAGAACTAAAAGTTCTCAGGTAGATGTCATAGTCTCTGACTGTATACATCTATAATTGAAAAATAATAATAATAATAATATTAGATAATATTAAGATAATAGCTTATTATAACTATGTTATTCTCACTGTGAGAGATATACAGTTAATAATAAAGATTATAAAGACTTTGAGAAGTGAGTATTTTAAGAGTACTACAGCTCTGTAATCTTGATTTTTATTATTTTTATTTTTTATTTTTTTCTTTCTCTTTCTCTTCTTTTTTTCTTTCTCTTTTTTTTTTTATTGTGATTTTTTCTTGTTATTATTTTATTTTTTATTTTCTTGTTTTTTTTATATTTTATATTTTTTTTAATTAAAATGATATTAATTACAATCTGTGTTTAGAAAAGTAATGATATTTAATAACACTCTCTGTTGAATTTTCAACAAATAAGTACTATATTATAATATTATGTAAGTGAGAAATGATTTCATAGTCTTATTTAATATCATTTTCAATAATGAGATTAGAATGAAAATGTAACTAAGAATTTAAATATATTCTTTATCTAACACTAGATTTTTATTTAAAAAGTGAATCTGAGATCTTTAATATTTGAAATAATATGATTTGAGATCAATGTAATGAACACAAATTATGATCAGAAGTAATACTTTTAGATAACATGATAACTGTAAAGTTTGATTCTGATTTCAGACACGGTTACACGGTCAGTCTAGTCTCAGAGTCAGATTGAAGAAGAAGTATAATTTAAATTAATTAAATATGAGATTCTTATTCTCAACTGAGACAGAAATTAAATACTTAATAGACTTTCTATCAGAAATTTAAGCAGCTTAAAGAAAATGACTGAATTCAGAAATATCTGAATATGAAGAGATGGAAATTAATTAGAGATAGTCTGTTAAAACAGCTATACACTATCTTTTAATAATTTTGTTTTATTATAGTCTCTCTTTACTTTACTTTTTCTTTTCTATTCTTTTCTATCTATCTATTTAATGTGTTTATCTTTAAGACTATGTTTTCTTTTCTTTTGTTATGATATTATTAAATCAGA